GTATGCCACGTGTCATGACATAATAGGTCCAAGGTGGACGAATAAGCGTGTGCCACGTGGCAAGCACTGATAGTTCCAACTGGGGGACACTTGGCAGGACCCGATTGGCCCACGTGGCGCATTCCGATTGGGAGGAGCAAAATCCCCTAATCACACCCATCTATTCTCTTCCCAATTTCTCTCCTATTCCCTGTATTTCACAACACGTTATCAGCACCATTCTCTAACTAATCGGAAAATTTAGAATATCAATCTTTGGAGACGAGATTAATTGCTACTACTTGATATAATGAAGGAATAAGATAATCATTTGTCATTAGGCTTAGATATCAATCATCACTGAGCACCATCCCTAACCGATTGAGCAGACAAAAAAAAAAAAAAAAAAATCATAACTAGGTAGATCAGTCATCAAGGTTAGTGTTATTATTTTTACTTAATTATTTTCACCGCTAAATCGCTACAACCATTACTGTATGATGTTGAGTTTTTGTTGGTACTGTATGATACTGTGATTGAATTATATTTTAGATATGCGTGTTATTTTATCAATGCAATGTAAACATAGGGGTTTGCTTGTTGATGTGCTATTGTCGCTGCTAATTAAATGACTAATGCAACTTAATACTAAAAGTGCAACCAGTGATGACACATGTCATTTACTGGTTAAAATTTTTCCCTCCAATTTTTTTTTTTTTTTTTTTTTTTTTTTTTTTTTTTTTTTTGTCTTCTCTTATTTTGTCAATTCTTCATGAAAAGTATTTAGCCTATAATATTCTCTTAATAAAATATTCTTATATGTATATATTTTATATTAAGTAATTTTGTAATATTCTCCAATATTTCTATAGTATTCTCATGCTAATATTTCTATATTCTCATGCAAATATTATTATTAGGAAAAGCCTTACTTCAATTAATAATCTCATGCTAATATTTTATTTTATAATAGTATTTGTTGTTTCATTATTCTCCTCAGTTTACTTATATATTATAATAAAACATATGACTAGCTTACTCATTTTTAAAAATTTGATTTTTATTTATAGAAAAATAAAATTAATGTTAATTAAACTTGTATAAACAAATGTGTATGTCAAATTGTATCAACAAAATAGGGACATGATAAGGTATATAGTATGGGTTTTAAATAATCAATAACTCATAATTCTTTTTTCTTCATATTTATAAAGTCTAACACATCAATAGCCTTTACAGGCATCATTGTAAAAATAAATAAATAAATAGGTAAAACAATTTTTTTAAAAAAAAGTTTATAAATGTAATTCTTTGTAATATATAATTGTTAAATTAATGTTATAGTTTGTTAAATAATTTTATAAATTCGTGCATGGAACGGGACTTTAACTAGTGTTTCGGGGTTTTTTTATGTCCTGCGGGAGAGTTATAATTTCGGGACTAGATCTGTGCGCCTGTACCTGCAAAACAACGAAAACTCCGATCGGTGGGAGCTCCGCCTCCGACGATCAAGTTAGAACGTGTTTAGAAGTAAAAGGTGCGGAAAATAAAGGTGATCTGGTTCCTCCAAAGAGAGGAGTGATCAGGCTAGTTGCGGTGGGCAACCTTGGAAGGTATGCAATTAACGGTAAGTAAGGTCTAGCAATTAATGTGCACGTGGGGTAATCTCTGAATGAGTTAATCTAACCTGTTTAATGGAGGCTAATTACTGTATTTATAGCCTCGAAGTACGTGCCCAATACTAGGTTAAATGATGAACCTAGGACTGATTGGGCTTGCCTCAGGATTCGGGCCTCGTTGGCCGTTTTCCAGGTTGGCAATCTAGGTGCCACGTGGCGTGGCTTGGTTGGTCCATGCCGGACCTCCTGGAGTATGACACGTGGCAGCCCTTGATTGGCCCACGTGGTAGGTGCTGATTGGTCCACGTGGCGGGGAAAAATCCAATAAACATTTGCCCCTCACAGGGGTTACGGGGCTCGTCACGTGACACCTGTGACAGGTGTCGGCTCGTAACCAGGCGATGGCTTGTGACAGGTGTCGGCTTGTGGTAGGCCGTCTGATTTTTCCCCCCTATTTTTGAGTTTAGGGTGTGACCCTTCAAATTCTTAGATAACCCTATATAAGGGCATTTGACCAAAGTTAGTTCACATTTTGTGAACTTTGCAAGAGAACTCGGAACCCTGAACTTGTGCTCTCTTCTGGACGACTAATAATCAACCGACTGTTTACGCTAGCCAATTGTTTGTGGTGACCGGCTGCTTAAGACTTCCATGCCATCTCCTTTCTCAAAGAACATACTTCAGGTAACCGTCTGTTTTTGCTCTTGCATTTTTTCATTTCTTTGCATTTTTCTTTTGAAAATATGGTATCCCAAAAGCACCCGGCACGACCTAGGTTAGTGATCAGTTGCTCACCGGGGACGTCTGAATCTAGGACTAGGAGTGCCGCCTGCCCCTTTCTGGACCAAACTTTTCCCTATGCTCCAAGTCCGACTATCTATGTGTCTATGCAGGACACTATGGCCAGAACAAAGAGGACGACCAGATACTCAAATTCAGATGGCTCCTCGTACTATGTTCAAATGAGCGAGCTTTCGTACCGGCCGCCTGGTACCCCAAACACTCCAAGTGATTCGATTTTGGGAGAATTAGAGGAGGTTCAGGCGACCACTCCTGTCCTTGTTGATATGTCCGGACAGGAGCCGGTCCTTTTTGAGAAAGAGGAGTCGTCCTCTTCTGGGAGTTCAAGCGACTCTAAGTCTAGCTCATCCAGCCGGCATTCCCCAAACTCAGAAGAGAGGCATTCTCGTATTCATGAGGGGAGAGCATCTCATGCTATCGAAAAGGGGGACGGCTGGGCAGAGCCATCTGCTTCTCATAGAGAGTTGAACACCCCTTACTATTGCCATGTCCCAAAGGGCAGGATTAAAGCCATGGTGGTGTTGCTTGGCTAGCATGCACGTATGCATACGCATGCTGCTGCGATGGTGTTGTGCTAGCGATGCACGCACATGATGTGTGACATTTATGCCACCATTTTACCCTTTTTCGTTAGAGATTTCCCCCGGATTTGTCACTTGTTTATGCCTCTTTTCACCCCTTTCTCTCGATTTTAGTCACTTTAGCTCCCTCTCGTGTTTTCCCTTCCCCTTTGTCTTTTCTTTTAGTTTTTACCTCCTTTTCGTGTGTTTTGATAGCTCATAGCACTCGTCGGCGAATCATGGGTTACTAGTTCGAGTAGAGATGCTAAGGGAGCTTGCCAGGGAAGTGGAGATGCCAAAGTGGAGAGGGCGCGTTAATGAGCATAGCCGCGGGCGCGGGCTTGATAGCCGCGGGCGCGGACAGGAAAGCCCTGAAGCCAACAAGAGAAAGTGGAGATGGCGAGCCGCGGGCGCGGAGCAAAGGGCCGCGGGCGCGGCAGAGAAGACTCGCGGGCGCGGCATTTTCCCCCGCGGGCGCAGCAATCTGGGTTTGACGAGGCTTATTACGCAGCTTGGAGAGGGCGCGGCAGCCTGTTCGGAGAGCCCTCTCCTTTGCCCTTTTTCTTCATTTTGGTTGAAGACTATAAATAGTGTTTAGTTTGAGTTTTTCACTCATTCACTATTCCATTGGTTTGAAATCATTTGTAGAGAGAGAATATCCATGTCTTCTAAAGAGAGAAAACACTAGTTTTCAAGAATCAATCTTTGTAATCAAATATTCAAGCTTTCTTCTAGATTATTGCTACTACTTTGATGATTTGGTAATCTTTAATCTTTATATTATAATATCAATCCTTACTTTTTTTTCTCTAGTTTTTGATTTTCTTTGTTTTATTGTTCTTACTTGAGTTTTCTTTCATAAATATTCAAGCTTTATTAGTTTCTTTGATTTCCTTTCAAGTTAGAATCATGTTAGGTTGTGTTGATATTGAATATATGCTTATGTTAGTTGCTATGGCTATTCCCTTCCTTCTAGCTTAGGTTTTTAGCTAGGGAAGGGGGTGAAAATCATGTGTATTAGATTATCTATTGATTATTGATTGGGATTTATTCTTGAGTTGATGATTTGAGCTAAAATATGCTTGGAGTTAGTGTGTGCACCTCTAATCCCAAGATTCTAGCCCTTGATTGAATGCATGAGAATGATTTAATCTAGGTGTGAATGATTTCATCCACTTGCTTGAGTAGTTGCATGAGAATGAACTATCTTAGGTAGAGTTTATACTCCTAGAATTGGTTCCTTATCAGTTTTCATTAGTATTCCTTGTTCATGATTGAATCCCCCTCTCCCTAGTGCTTTTGTCATTGTTATCTCTCTAATCTTGTCCATTTATTTGCATGTAAGGGTGTTTAATATATTTCCATTTTCTTTAGTTTATTCTAGGCTCAATAGTAGTTGATTTGTCCATAGGATTCTTCAAACACAAATCTCAATACCCCCTTTTTTTTGTTACTAGCAATTATCTTAGATTTCGTTTTAATTGTGCTAAACCCCCGTTTCCTTGGGAATCGACCCTACCTTACCGCTATCTAGAGTAAAATTGATAGAGTTAGGATAGGAGATATAAATTGTAATTTTGATCTAGGATAGTAAACTAACGACCTATTGTCCACCGATCAAAATTTTGGCGCCGTTGCCGGGGAAACGACTAGTTTTGCACATTTAATTTGCGTTATTAGTGGCTTTGTTGCTTTTTATTTCGTTCTTTTTCTACTTGCTAGTCATTGCTAATTGTTTGCTTAGCTTTGGTGAATGCAAAGAAGATCTCAAGGACCACCTACTCACAACCTTGATCAGGAAATCGACGGCACCTTGAGACAAGTCCGTAGACTCTATCAAGAAGAGGGATGAGGTTTTGGTGCTATCTTTGATAGTGAGAGTGATTCTTGGTCCTCACATTCCCAAGGTGATGAAATAGCAGGACCACAAGCGGATGTTTTATTTCGTGAGTTCGGTAATCCGGAGGATTATGAGCTCACCGGTGGGATATTGCTACCCGTCACGGAAACTAACTTCACCATCCATCCTCATTACACTCGAATGGTTCAAGCGGAGCAATTCTCGGGTTCGCCAAGTGAAGACCCTATTGAGAATCTTGATAAGTTTCTTGAACTTTGTGCCATGATACAAACCAACCAAGTTTCTCAAGAATACATTCAGATGCACCTATTTTGGCAATCTCTTGCGGGAAGAGCAAAGAAGTGGCTCAAGCAAGTCAAGCCTAATTTTCTCTCAACATGGAGGGAAATTGTTCAAGCATTTTTGAAAAGGTTCATCTCCGAAGAGAAAAATGCTGACATGAGGAGGAAGATAGCATCTTTTAAACAAGAGGCGGAGGAAAGCCTTAGTGAAGCTTGGGAGAGGTTTAAGGAGTTGGTGCAAGCATGTCCTCACTATGAATACAATCAAAGCTTACTCATGAGGTTCTTCTATGATGGTTTGGAACCGATGTCTCGAGCTAATTTGGATGCGAGGGCGGGTGGACAATTGATCAAAGTCCCTCAAAATCAAGTTGAAGCAACAATTGAAGAGGTAGTCAAAAACTACTCTTGGGGAGGAAGAAGGAGGAATGCGCCAAAGAAAGGTGGGAAGTATGAGTTGGAGAAAGTCGATCAATTGCAACATCAAATTGAGCTTTTGACAAAAGGGCTTGCAAAGTTGAATACTAGTGTCAATAGTGGGGCGAGCTCCTCCCAAGTCAACTCTTTCTCTTGTCAAAATTGTGGTGGTACGAACCATGACACATCCTATTGTGGAGGTTTAAGCCCGGAGCATGTAGCGGCATACAATACAAGGCAAGAAGGGTATAGGGGAAATGGTGGAGGAGTAGCTTGGAGACAACCACCACCCGGATTTGCAACCCAACCTCAACAATGGAATCAACAAGCTCAACAACTATACAACTTCAACACCCAATATCAAAACCCACCTCCATTCCAAACCCAAAATCAAAGAGGAAACTACCCAAGAAACAACCAACACAATAATCAACACCAATAACAAAATCAAAACCAAGCAACTCCAAGAAGTCAAGAGCAAGCATCTTAACCCGATTCTACTCAAACTCAAATTCTTCAACAACTTCAAGCCATGAATCAACAAATGCAAGAAGTCAAGGCTCATAACAAGATGGTTGATTCACAACTAGCACAATTGGCCGAGAGGGTTCCTTTCAACTCATCTTCCACTTTGCCCGGACAATCACAAACCAACCCTTCTAATATTGTGAAACCCGACTCTTGCAAGGCAATCACATTGATATTGGGTACATCTTATGAGGGTCCCAAGGAAGAGGATGGAAAGGAAAAGAAGGAAGGAGAAGAGAAGATGAGTGAAGATAAAGAAGTTGAAGAAGAGAAGGTTGATGAGAAAGAGAAGAGTATGGAGAAAAAGAAGTCTAAGGATGCGGTGACATCCTCAACTTCTAGTGAGGCTAGAAATCTTGATGGACCAGTTCCTTTTCCCGGTCGGCTTGCGGAGAGAAAATTGAATGACAAATTTGCCAAGTTCCTAAGTGTGATGAAAAACTTACACATTAACCTCCCTTTCATTGAGGTTGTCACACAAATGCCCTCATACTCCAAGTTCTTGAAAGACATTCTCACCAACAAAAGGAAGCTCAATGATGAGCTTATCACTCTTCCCCATCAAGTGAGTGCACTTGTTCAACACAAAATGCCCAAGAAGCAAAAGGATCCGGGAAGCTTCACCTTGCCGGTCAAGATTGGGAACATGGAAGCTAGGGGTGCCTTAGCCGACCTTGGAGCAAGTGTTGGTTTGATCCCTCTATCCATTGCTATAAACCTTAACATTGAGATGATCCCCACGAAGAAAACCATTCAATTGGCCGATCGTTCGGTGAAGCTACCTTGTAGTGAGCTTGAAGATGTCCCTATTCAAGTTGGGCATATCTATGTGCCTTGTGACTTTGTAGTGATGGATATGGAAGAAGATGTGGATGAACCTTTGATTTTGGGCCGTGAAGCTCTTAAGACCTTGGGGGTGGTCAATTGCAAGAACAATACCATTACATGTGAGGTAGCCGATGAAAAAATTGTCTTTGAATTCTCCAAGCTACTCAAGACCCCCATGGTTGAGAAGTGCTATAGGGTTGATGTTGTCAATGAAGAGCTAGATCGTTTGGGAAGGGTTATGATGAGTCCTCAAGATCCAATGGTTGAAGCTCTCATATGTGAGGAAGAGTACTTCTCTCAAGAAGCAAAGGAGTTTGCTATGGCCATTGAAGAAGCCAAAGAGGAGGAAGCGAGTGATCCTAAGCATGATGAGCTAGAACATGAGGAGGAAAAATTGGAGCAGAGTTCTAAGCCTCCTCCCAAGGTAGAACTCAAACCCCTTCCCCCTTCTTTGAAATATGCTTATCTCGGAAATGAAGGGGAATACCCTATTATTGTCTGTGCTTCCCTTAATTGTCTTGATTTGGAAAATTTGATTATTGTTTTGAGAAAGTATAGAAATGTGATAGGGTATAGCATTGATGATATCAAAGGTATTAGCCCTTCTTTATGCATGCATCGTATTCACCTTGAGGATGATCAATCTACCTCCATTGAGCCTCAAAGGAGGTTGAAACCCAACCTCCAAGAGGTTGTCAAGAAAGAAATTTTGAAATTGCGTGAGGCGGGTATAATCTATGCTATCTCCGATAGCAAGTGGGTTAGCCCGGTTCACGTGGTTCCAAAAAAGGGTGGAATGACCATTGTCAAGGGAGAAGGAGGAGAGGAAATCTCCACCCGGACGGTGACCGGGTGGAGGATGTGCATTGATTATAGGAAGTTGAACAAAAACACTAAGACAGATCATTTTCCTCTCCCCTTCATGGATCAAATGTTGGAAAGACTCTCCCATCATGCTTTCTTTTGCTTTTTGGATGGATATTCCGGCTTTTTCCAAATTCCTATCCATCCAATTGATCAAGAGAAAACTACTTTTACATGTCCATATGGGACGTTTGCATACCGAAGAATGCCCTTTGGGTTATGCAATGCCCCGTCAACTTTCCAACGATGCATGACCTCCATTTTTACTGAAATGCTTGAGAATGAGATTGAAGTTTTTATGGATGATTTTAGTGTTTGTGGCTCGTCTTTTGACACATGTATTATTAACCTTGAAAAAGTTTTGAAAAGGTGTCAAGAGACAAGTTTAGTGTTGAATTGGGAAAAATGCCATTTTATGGTCGAGGAAGGTATTGTCCTAGGCCATAAAGTATCAAAAAAGGGCATTGAAGTTGACTCGACTAAGGTTTCGGTGATTGCTAAGTTGCCCCCTCCTACCTCCATCATGGGAGTGAGAGCTTTTCTTGGGCATGCCGGTTTTTACCGGAGGTTTATCAAAAAAATTTCCATCAATCGCCAAGCCCTTAACCGAGTTACTCAAAAAGGATGTTGTGTTCAGTTTTTATGAGGCTTTCCTTGAGGCATTCCAAAAGCTTAAGGAAGCCCTCATCTCCTCTCCTGTTGTGCAAGCTCCGGATTGGAGCTTGCTTTTTGAGCTAATGTGCGATGCAAGTGATCTGCAATAGGTGCCGTACTTGGACAAAAGAAAGAAGGAAGATCTTGTGTCATCTACTATGCAAGTAGAACGCTCGACGAAGCTCAAAGGAATTATACCACAACGGAGAAGGAAATGCTAGCGGTTGTCTTTGCCATGGATAAGTTCCGGTCTTACCTCATATGCTCAAAGGTGATAGTCTACAGTGATCACACAGCGGTCTGCTATCTTATGACCAAAAAGGAAGCGAAACCGCGTCTCATCCGTTGGGTTCTTTCGCTCCAGACTTTGACATGGAGATGAGGGATAAAAAGGGAGCGGAGAATTATGTGGCAGATCATCTATATAGACTTCCTTTCGAGAATAAGGAAGAGGTGCCTATCAATGAAGAGGTGGGGTTTGAGACCCTCATGGCCATGGTGTCGGCATCAAGCCCTTGGTATGCGGACATTGCAAATTATCTAGCATGTGGAGTAGTTCCCCCGGAATTCTCTGCTCAACAAAAGAAAATATTTTTCAAGGAAGTGAGGAGATATTTTTGGAATGATCCTTATTTGTTCAAGCAATGTGGAGATGGCCTCTTTCGGAAATGTGTTCCAGATCATGAGATAGAAGGAGTTATTGAACATTGCCACTCATTGCCATGTGGAGGGCATGGAGGAGTTGAAAAGACCGTGGCAAAGATCTCCCAATCTCTTCTTTGGTGCCCAAAAATGCACAAGGATGGCCACAAATTTGTTTCACGGTGTGACAAATGCCAAAGAAGTGGTGGCATAACCAAAAGGGATGAAATGCCTCAACAAAACATTTTGGAGGTCGAGCCATTCGATGTTTGGGGTGTCGACTTCATGGGGCTTTTGTCTCTTCTTGTGGAAATCTTTATATCTTGGTGGCGGTGGACTATGTGACCAAGTGGATTGAAGCTATACCATCCCCCACCAATGACCATAAAGTGGTGCTCAAGCTTCTCAAAAAAGTCATATTTCTACGGTTTAGGGTTCCTAGAGTGCTAATCAGCGATGGTGGTTCTCATTTTGCCAAGAAGCAATTCGAAGCTCTCCTCAAAAGGTACGGGGTTCATCACAAGGTTGGTCTCCCTTACCACCCTTAAACTCAAGGACAAGTGGAAGTGTCCAATAGAGATATCAAAAACCTTCTTAAGAGGATGGTGAACAAGTCTAGGAAAGATTGGTTTCTCAAGCTCGATGACATGCTTTGGGCTCTAAGGACGGCATACAAAACCCCCATTGGCACGACCCCCTACCGGTTGGTCTATGGGAAGGCTTGTCACTTGCCGGTTGAGTTGGAATACAAGGCTTGGTGAGCGATCAATGAGCTCAACATGGACATGTCCTTGGCGGGTGAGAAGAGATTGCTTAAGCTCAATGAACTTGAGGAGCTCCTGTATGATGCTTACGATAACTCGAGGCTTTACAAGGAGAGGACTAAGATGTGGCACGACCGACATATAAGGAACAAGAGCTTCAAGGTTGGAGACAAGGTGTTGTTGTTCAACTCTAGGCTGCGGTTGTTTCCCGGAAAACTAAAATCCAAGTGGTCGGGGCCTTTCATAATTTCAAGGACTACTCCTTACGGGTCTTTTGAGTTAGAAGCGGAGGGGAACAAGTTCATGGTTAACGGCCACCGTTTGAAGCTCTACAATTGCAATAATCAAGTTGGCATGATTGAGTGCATGAGGCTTGATCCTGCGGATCCTAAGCCACTTTCTTGAAGATGATGTGAATGGTCAAGCTAATGACCTTATAAAGAAGCGCTTCTCGGGAGGCAACCCGAGTTCTCAACTCTTTTGATTTTGTGTTTCTTGTGTTTGATTAGTTTTGGACGATTTTTCTTTAATCTCTTATTGTGTGTATGTTTGTTCTTCCATTAGGTACTTGGATCTTTGGGATTTTAATCTATTAAGTTGAGCTTGGAGAGGAGAAGGAGAATGGAAGAATTGAAAGTGGAGATGCCAGGAGAAACCCTGGAGAGGGCGCGCACAGAAGACCCGCGGGCGCGGAGCAAGGGTTTTCAGGATTTAAAAGAAAGAGGAGATGCCTATGAGATGCCCGAGAGAGGGCGCGGACAGGGTATGCCGTTGGCGCGACCCTTACCTCCGCGGGCGCGCATATCTCCTCCGCGGGCGCGACAGTCAGCAGTTCAGAATGTCAGAAAGTTGGAATGCCCGACCCGCGGGCGCATCATACAAACTCGCGGGCGCGGACTAGGTATGCCGCGGGCGCGGCCCTTCAGTGCTGCGACTTCTCCTTGAATTCTCAGCCATATGCCCGAATTCCTTTTCACCCAAATCAGTTTTTTTTCCCTCTTTCTCTCTCTACTCCTCACTCTATTCCAAGCCCTAACCCATTCTTCATCAAATTCCTCCCCAAAATCATCAAAATCCATCAAATTTCATCACTTTACTTGCAAATTCTCAACAAAATTCTCAATTTCCACCATCAAAAACCCAAAAATCTCGATACTACTTTTTGTGAAGGATTTGGTTCCACCATTGAAGGGTTCTTGGAGTGGGCTTTCCTTCTTCTTCAAAGGCTAGTAGGAGTACTCATTGGAACTGATTGTTGGTATAAACTTCTCTTCTACTCTTTATTTCCTTTGAATTTGAAGTATATGCTTGTTTGAGAAAATTTCATGCTTGTTTGAGAAAATTTCATGTTTGTTTGAGAAAATTTCATGTTTGTGATTTTGCATGTTGAAATTCTTGATGGTTATACTCCTATTTTATACTCATTATTCATCTTGACCGTTATTGATTTTAAAATGGTTGTTTGTGATACTTGTCTCTCCATATAGATTTCTTTGTTGTGAGTTCTTGATAATTACTTGGAGGTGTTCTTTGTGGTGTTTGGTTGAATTTGAAAGGTGTCACGGTTGATCATGGTGTGGCTTATTGAGGAGAATTTCTTGGTATTAGCATATTTGTGTGGTAAAAATGGTGTTTGGTTCAAAGAAAAGAAAGAGCGGGAAGGAACTTCAAGGTTCATCCTCCTCAAACCCCCAACAAAATGAACAAACACAAACCGCTCCACCACCTCTACCACCCCTCAAATTCCACAATAAAAACCACAAGCCCATCTATGACAACCTCCTAAATAGAAAGTTGAGACCAACCAAGCACTACCACCAAGCTTGACATCGACGAGGATTGTTGGTTCTTGTACAACAACCTCGGGCTTGGTTCCTTTGTGTCAAGTGCATATCGAACCTACAAAGATCCTACCCTAGAGTTTCTTGCTTCTTTCGAAAGCCATGCCGCATGGGATAATGATCTCTCCATCTCCTTCCAACTCTTTAACAAAAAAGAAACCTTCACCCTCCGCCAGTTTAACCAACTATTGGACTTCAACCCCGATGCCGATATGTTCTTCCCTGAGCATGCAAGCCTCCATGCTTATGAGCCTTTTCATTGGTGCAAGGTCATTTCAAGAATGGACGCTTTCAACTCCAAGTACTCTTTAGCCAGCCAGATCATGCAGCCAGCCATCAGACTTCTGCATCGAATTCTCGGGTACATGGTCTTTAATAAACAAGACTTGGGGAAGATTACAACTGAGGAAATCCGGATATTATGGCTAGCTACGTAACCGGAGATCGGGCATAGAATGAACTTCGGGTTTCTTTTCACTAAGTGTATCGAAGGTGTCCTCTCAGGCACAAGGAAGGGGGAAATCCATTTTGGAGGGATGGTCACTCGGATAGCCGAGAAGTTGGGGCATTTGGCAAAGCTTGAATCTTGCACCCCCATGGGGAAGAGTGATGGGAGTGATATTTGGCTCGACCTCGACCACCTAAAGACCATGAAATTCATCGCTGATACCAAGGATCGAGGACGGACTTAGAGCTTACTTGTCTCCCACGAACACCACTGTTTCCTTCCCAAGCCGGAATTCACTTCCTTCACGAGGGAAGGAGTAAAGTACCCATGGTGGGTAAAGAAGGACTCGAGTGTCCTTCCTGGTGCAAGAATGGTCATGGGGGAAGGGTCCGGTCAAAGCCATGAAAGTGCGGAGGATGAGTTCCCACAACAACAACAACAAAAACAACAAGGAAGAAGGCAACAACAACAACATCATCATCCCGACTACCAACAACAAATGGAGGCAATGAGAGCCCAAATGGAAAGCATGCAACTCGACATGCAAGGTATGTTTGCTTCCCACCAACACCTTTCTTACCAAACCAACATTTTATATGATTTTAGTGTACGTAGAGGGGATGTCACCCCCCCGGTCAACTACCCATATGTGACGGCCCAACAAGGGCCCGTGCCATCTTGGGGGGGTGAAAACCAACCTACGTACCCCTATTGGCAGGGTCCCTCGAACCCCATTGTGCCTAGGCGTGATTTCCCTGATGAGTCCGGTCATTATGATTACCGGGTTTCGGGTGGGAGTGATTACAGGGGTGATCCTAACTACCCCTATGTCGATCCCTGTCACCATGCACCCCTTGTCCAACCCGAGCCATATGACCAGTTATCCGCATCCCAACTTGACCTCTTCAAAGGTCATTATGGGTGGCCACCTGGCTACTCCGGAGGTTGGGACCTCTATGGACCTCCCTCGGGCTTCTCTTATGACAGTGGGAGTGCGGATAACGATGGCACCGGCCCTAGTGGCCATTAGTTTCCCCCTTGTTCTTTTTTTTCCCTCCCCTTGTCTTCCCTCCCCTTTATTACACGTCCTCATGCCGCATCGAGGACGATGCTTTACTCTAGTGTGAAGGGGGTGTTTGAGTCAAAGGAGATTGTTAGGGAATACTTGAGGTAAGTGTGGGGGAAGGCACCTAGGACTCAAGAGACTATTTAGGGGTTTTGGGTGTAGGTGTCGTTGGTAGCGTTGTTGTTGTTGTTGTTTGGTGTCTATGATGTCCATTTTTATGATGATGATGATATGATGATAATGTTTTGATGATGATGATTCTATGATGATGGTATGTTTGGGTAGTAGGTCATACTCAAAGAATTAAGTTCATGGATTTTCTTTCTCTCTCTAGTACTAACTTTCTTTTCTTTGTAGTGTTTGCCTTGTTTTTCTTTGTTTTTCTCTCTTTTGTAGCTTGGAAGAAATTGGAGGCGATATGTGGAGGCATGGTAAATTGCATGGTCGCTTTATTCTTTCT